TAAATCAAATCTCCAATTTATAAAGACATTTAGAATTAACTAAACCAGCAAATATTTGTTTCTATTTGATAAATCATCAACACAATCATTTTGGAATTTAGATATTTTCCATAATTTTAAACAATCATTTTGTTGGCAGAATTGGATCCTCTTCTTATTTAGTTTTTCCAAAAGAGAAATAATATAACGGCATTTTTCGGGCAAACAACAGATTTGTCGAGGTATTTATGGCTAGCACAAGCATTGGAACATTATATAGACATGTATGCTGTTAGTCTGTGTGATCATGTTGAAGATGGCTGTCTCTTTGCTGGCTATTGTTGCCTCTCCTGCCCCTCTCCCCTAGTCTCAGTAATAGGTTTTGTGCGCCTGGCTTTGTCCTGCTACTCATTAGGGAGTCAGAGGCGGAGGAGACGAACGCTAGGAGTGGATGCGCAGCTGAGAGACCTCCCCCATCATTTAAACTGACGGCATACAGGACCACGTGACCGGCTGTTTACTGTCGCAGCAAGCGTAGAGTGCAGGATTTGCCTTCCTCCTATTTTAAAAACCTAGCTTTAATGTAGATTTCAGAATTCTCTGCTAATAATCCACTTGTTTTATTTGTACCATTCTATAACATTGTTAAGAGGGTGACTTATTCATAGCTTGTGTTCTTGTAGGTTCCTTTGTGTGCAGCATGTATGTTCTCCATGGTGTGTGTGTGTGTGTGTGTGTGTGTGTGTGTGTGTGTTCTCAGCAGGGAGTACTCTGGAAGCTGTAGTGGAGTAATGCTGCTGCTGGTAGCGTACTCTGCGCTCTGTGTGTCAGGCTCCCTGCTATTCTTAGCCCTCTTCCCTCCCTGTCCCATCCTGCAGTCTGTGGATCAGATTACCGTACTGTGTGCTCTTCATCTATCCCAGTTACACGACTACCACACTCTTCACCACCGCCCCAACTCCTCAAACCCCCAAACCGCTGCACACACGCAAGAACAGCAGCCACTCTGCTGTCAGGGCCAACATGCTCCAGCCCTACAGGGAAAAGGTTGTTGTTGTTGGTGAGGAACCAGTGGAGTTAAAGTGCAGGAACACCAGGTTATAAATAAATACAGAGAGACATCTGCTTCTCAGAGGGACCAGCAGTGCAGCCATCGCACTTAACTCAGGATTTCTCTGACTTGACTTGCAGTATATTTAGTATTTGAAGAGTTCAGACCCACATTTTTCATTGTTCGTTATGTCCGGGCTTAAAGAGGATCATTTAGGAACTGTGTTATATATTTTTCATTCGCATAATCTGAAAAGTAAATTGACCTCTGGCCCTGATGGCCACCATGCTTTGGTCATCCACTAAAACTGTCACAATATTGTGGCAACATGGCAAACAGCATGTGGTTTGAGTGACCTGGACAGAAGGATTGTATGTTAGAGCTGGAGCGACTGGTCTATAAACACAGGCTCAAAGTAATGATTATTGTCATTTTTCTATTTTATTCAGCCATTTTTCTGAATTATGCTGTTATTTGCGTGTTCTGCGAAACCTCAGAACAAGATAAATATGACCGGTGACAATTTTCTCAATCCCCTCCCCCCAAAGATATTATATTCATCATCAATTTTTAAAGATGGAAAAGCAATTCTACAATTGAAACAAATAGATTTTGGGCATTATTTCTTTAGCTTATACAATTTAAGAATAGTATATCAGCAACTATTTTAGACGATTGATGAATTGCATTTCTATTCTCGCCTCAGCATCTCAAACTACACCGTCTTTAGTGTGGCACCTTTTTCTCTGCTGTAGATATCTCAACCTTTCACAGTCGTGGTTTTGCACTTTGATAGTCTGTTTCATTGGAATGAAGTGGGTTAGATAACTCTTGCTATTACTGTTTTTGCTGTAAGGGATCCAATGTCAAACTAATCTCAGCCTCTGAACTGTAGCTCGGTTTGATCTAGACTTGAAACAGTCCAAGGTTAATGGCAGCGCCCGCAGGAGCTCATGCAGCCCTGATCTGCTCATGAAACGGCAGTGAACGAGAATGCCAAACTGGCGATTGCCCAAATACCTCTGTAATTATAGTCGCACCCTCTTCGCCTCTTCTCTGGGCCAGATTGGAGTCCTGTCAGCGTAATTTCTGGTTCTGGCCTGTCCATACCGCTTTAATACCCCCCCCCCCCCCCCCCCCCCCTTACGTTAGCCTCTTTACACCAACGTGCTCACTCTGGGCTGCTCAGTTCTCCCTTTCAGCCGCCTGAATGACGATGCTGCTGCATACCGGCGATCTGCTGACTAATGACGGCCCTCTCACTGGCCTCAGCTCAGCTGCAGCGCTGTGATACCGGTCAACACTGTGCTATGACTTAGGATCAGCAAAGGTTGTAAAGGTATCTGAGGAAACTAAATGTTGGATTCCTCTGAGGAGTCTAGCTTTCCTATTCGTGGCAATTTAGTGCTGAAAACCAGACGGACTGGATTCTATCTGCCGAGGCAACGGTTATGTGCGACTGTTAAGATCTACCCAGCTGTCTAAATGAACGCTTAATCATTTTAGTTGTGTTGTAATTTATCTATTTAATACAAAAAGCTTGATTAACTTTGATTAATTGCGTAACACAAAAAAACTGGCCTAATGGTTAGCTTCATCATACATTTCAGTGATTCATTATTTTGGTCATTAAAGTCAGATAATGCTGAAAATAACTTTGACATTCTCCCTGGGAAAATACAATACACAAATCACAGGTACCTATATTTGGAAAATCCATGTTAAACTTTTGTTTGATTCTCTGTTCAAGCCTTTTTGTCCTGATGCACTTGAGCGGTTTAAACTTGTAAATCATGTGACTTTCCCATAAATCCTCGATTAAGCCACATAATTGTCGCATGCTAAGGTGATGTTTATGAACGTCTAGTCCGGGCTTGTTATCATGACTGATTTGTATACTTTAAGGACTACAGTATGATGCATTCAGCCACAGTTGTCTGGTTTTTGATTTTGACCTGTACTTGTGTAAGGATGAATTGTACTGTCATCGCAGTTAATTCCGTCACTGTTGACTGTTTTATAGGTCCGCTGTGTTTGGTTCTCAAGGCAGAAGCTTTACAATGTAGTCCATTACTTCTGTCTTTCTGTCTTGGTTGTTATTCAAAAACAACAAGTTGCACATTTCCAAGCATTTGGTCACATCTTGCGTTGGTTAGCACAGAACTAGTCTTGCATGTACTTCTGAGACTTTTGAGAGCTGGTCATTTTGAGATTGTGGCTACCCTTGTCCTGTCGGTTTTGAACCGTAACATGTATACGAACCCACAGAAAAGGGAAAGCTGTACATAACGTTGAGCTGTTTCAACATTATTTTTCCAACTGATCTTGAGTGCACATTTAATTATTTAAAGGTGGGGTAGGTCATTCACTTCAGAAACACTTTGTTATATTCCATGGAATGCTCTTAACATCCTGATAGCAATGAATACATGAAATGCTTTGACAATAAATACATAAAACATGTCATCTGTGGAAGCCGTAGCGTTGTAAAAAGCACGACCAATCATCTGAGCCGGCCCGGCTAAAGTAACTGGATGGCCTACCTGTCTGTCAGCCTTCCATCTGGGCACAAACTTATCTCGTGCCCTCATTGGTCATGTGCGCGTTCGTGTGTGTTGGAGGAGGGGCTCTGTGAGGAAGTCTGTTCGGTTGTGTATTTTCAAATTCTAGCGCACTCGATCTGGTTTCTCCATTCTTACCAATACCTACCTTTTTAAGATGTAATAAATGGCCATTTTTGGCTTAAAGAAATTGGGTATTATAATTATGCGGCTCTAAACCCTGACAGTAATTTGCTTAATCTTTATTGTTATTTTTACAATTTGATATAGAAGGAGAAATCAGAGGGGAAATTACAATTGCAGTTTCTCAGGCTCACAGGACAAAACCCAAATGAATACAGGGAACTGTAATGATAGTCTATGAAAATGTCAATACTCACATTTTAAGAAGCTGAAGCCAGCCAACAAGTAAAGGGTTAATTGATATACTTCCATTATTCAATAAAAAAACTGCTCAGCCTCGACGGGGGAAACCTGCTGAAGAATTGTAAGGAATCCCTTGAATTGGGATTTTCTTTCTAGCAGAGTGGGCAACCCCAGTAAAAATCTTGTTTTCTGTGTGAATGGCTGCAATACAGAAAATAATCATTCTAGTTTTGTTTGGACTATTGTAAAGTTGTAACTGGATGCAGATTGAGTAATGGGGCTGTCCCATTCATTCTGTGGAGGCTGTTTCACAACGAATCTCTCAGGTTTCCTAATATACAGTTTGCAGTACTTTCATTGGGCTCAAAATATGCTATTTCTGTCAAATCAGTTGAGAGACTGTTAAAGAAAAGAGAAGCAGGGGAAGTTCATGGAAAGTACACCACAAAGAAGATCTTGTGACTGAAATTGGCGATGTTCATGTGACGAGTTAACTGACACATGCCAAGTCGCCTTTTGTGCGCATGTTCGGCTGAGTGTTGCACTTCCTACGTCACTGCAGGCGCTCAGAGTGACTCTGCTGCATGTGTGACTTCACCGACACAAACCACATCAGAGAGAAGCTCGGTTACAATGATGAGTAGACCATAGTGACAGTGTTCAGAGATGTTTTCCTGTTAGAGTTTAAGAGTCCCTAAAGCTGTGATTCATGCTGCCTTGTGTGGTTATTCCCTGCATGTTTCTTTTTATGGTCTTTCTCAAGAAGAGGAATGGAAATGTCACTAAAAGTCCCTGATTACTGATGTACTCAAAGTATATCCTTAAACACAGCCGAGTGGCCACTCCAGCTTTCTTCAGGGTTAATTGACTTTTCCTTACTTGGCTTGTTTCCACTGCTATTAGCTGAGAGTCTAGCCTGTAAACCGTCTCAGAAGAATTTAATTGTTGCTGTATTTTAAACATGCCTCTTGTCCTTGCCTCTTCACCCAGACTGATGTGGCAGCGAGGGAATGTTTCTCATTGCTGTGGTTTTCTGTCTCCAGGTGCATGATGAACCGACTGAGCTGTAGCTGTCGCAGCTAGTCAGGTGCCGCACCATGGCCAAACCTGGGAGCGACAGAGATGGAGCCATGGTGGATAAACAGGGGGGGAAGAAGGTATGTGAGCACATGCAATAATACTATTTATCACTTTGCCTCCTTTCATATTGACTGTTGGCATAGAGGGCTACACGTTGCAACTGTGCGCAAGGCAAGTTTATTTATAAAGCACTTTTCAACACAAGGCAATTCAAAGTGCCTTACAAAAATGAAAGACATTAAGAGCATCAAACACATTAGAAACATTAAAAAGCAAAGATAATAAAACATGAATACCAGGTAGATGAATACAAGTTGCCGTGTAAGATGTGAATAATTAAGTTAAAAGCAGCGGCAAAAAGAAAGTCTTCAGCCTGGATTTAAAAGTAGTCAGAGTTGCAGCGGGCCTGCAGGTTCTGGTAGTTTGTTCCAGATGTAAACATATTGTTCTAAAGCATATTGACATCCTAGCAAGAGTCCTCTGTTTAGTTAGGAAATCCCTCAGTGTATACGTTTTGTATCTGGTTTCGTCATTTATTTATTGAAGATCTTCGGGTACACCAGACTTCAATTACAACAAGTTGTTCATCACTATACTTTAAAATAATAATGATGAACCAAACAATCACAACTCAGTTTTGTTATCATTCTAAGTATTCTTTGTCAAACATCATTTATCAGATTTATTTTTAACAGATTTAAGTTTCTCACTTCCCACTCGCTGTTACAGTAGATCTGTGTTTAAGAGGCATCTGGGTACTGACCGCATTTAACCTCCTACCTATTGTGATTACCTTGACCTGTTCTGCGCTCAAACAGCCTCACATGTTGACATTGATGCTTTTATCATTATTATTTCAGATGTGATTCACGAACAATATCCCACGTCCCGTATTGTTACATGAACACAACTGAATAATCCCTTTCTTCATAAATGAGAAGGACAATATACGTCTGCTTTTATTTGTAAGGCAAAGTGTTTCTCATCTTAACCCTCCCCACTGCCAGACACTTCAGCTTTGCACAGCTGGCACTTTGCTTCTCTGAGATCAAAGAAGCACCACACTGCAGACATTTGTCCTCCTGCCAGAAATGTATTTTACTGCACCAAAGTGCTGCTCACTAAAGTACTAGCACTGAAAAAAAGAGCCTTCTCTGCAAATCAGAGTGCAAGTAACTGGAATTGTAAGACATTGTGATAAAATACAGACATTACTGGTTGAGGCCTGTGGGTGCCATCACTGGTGGCGTACGATGAACCGCGCGTACAGATTTAATACACATCTTCCATACTTGTATAATCCAGCTTCTATATGAACATGAAAAATAAAACCAACGTTGCATCCATGAAAGAAAATGGCAGCTGCATGAGGGAGGGATCAAATTGATATTTTCCTGTTTTGTGAATTGAGTTGTTTAATTATAGCCCAGGCTATGCTCTCCGTTTTTTTAAATGATAACCTATAATGTATGAATTGCTTCTTTCACCATGTGTAAAGGGCAGCCTTTGTGTCACACCTGTTTCTTTAAGCCTTAATGGCAGCCATTAATCAATACATCTATTAGTATTTCATATTTCTCAGGTTGTTCAACTTTTTGCACAAATTCTCACATTGTAACAAACCCAGTACCCCTAACAATGTAAACAGAATATAAGCATCCTTCTGTGTAAACAAATTAAAACGAGTCACTCCTGATCTTTCACTCCACACTTGGCGAGTACCCAGCTTTCGTAACAGGATTGCTCTGAGTCATGGTAGCAGAGCTGTTGCCTGCAGGACCCAAACAATATGTTGCAGAGTCACAGTATTATCATCCGCACTTTGTCAGCCTCATGTTTTAGAAAGCTTTAGTCGTAACTGAAGCTTTAACCTTTTTAATTGTTGAACTAGTTAGCACAGCTTTTCAAATGTGGCTGCCTAAGTTTATTTACTGTCATGACTGTATTGTTTAACACACACTTGCATAAACACACACACACAGACCTTAGTCACACACATGGCCACACCCTTTCTGTGTTTTTGAAATGCCTGATTTGAATTGTTTTAATTCCCCACCTCACCTCTCTGACAGAGTAAAGACAAGTTGTCCCCTTTCACCAAAACTCCGAAGCTGGACCGGAGAGAGTTGCTGGGGAAGGAAGGGAAATCCAAATCTTCCATGAAGCGCAAGCTCTCCTTCACGGCCAGTCCGCTGCGGGCCGAGGAGCGAGACTCGGACACCGGTAAGAGCAGCTGCTCCTGCTCCTCTCTCAACAGCCATGCTGCTGGCTGGCTGCCACGTCCTCACAGCGCCCCCTGCTGGCCTGTCGTCTCATGTTGTCTTTAGGGATTGTCTGTAGGGTCAGGGGGCTTAAATTTATTCCGCATCAGGGTCAAAATCTGACACGAAGTTATGGACTGTTTTGTTGAGTAACGAGAAATAAACAAAGTTGTTTTAAAGAAAATGGATTAGCATAAATTCTTCTACTTGCCTTCAAGTTGTGGCTGTTCACTTTGTTGTGAGAATAGTTAGGAATCCTTCTTTAACACAAAACTAGATTGTCTTCTAGTTCCTTTTATATAATCCTAATATTCCTCAGTCAGATCCTGATGTCTCTGTAGCCAAAAGCCCTTCATATATTTATTCTGTTTTGCAATAAACCTTCAATCTTGTTTAAAAATGTATCGATAAACCAGGCTGATGCACGAGGTAGTTTGTCGACTTAATCGCACTGAAACCATCGTGCTGCAGTACATTTCTAGGGCACCAAATGTGTATCACCCCACAACTAAACACATCTCCAACAAATGCACCATTTACTCTTGTTTGAATATGTGTGCTAAATGACCTATTCAACTCGTTTGGGAAACCCCCGAGACCTTTTTAAAAACCTCACAGGCAGGTTAGTTCTGTTAAGTTAACAACAGCAGCGTTCTCCAGTAAGACCTGGCATGGAAACGGCAGTTGCTCCATTTGAGTTCCTGGTGGCCATCGTAATGTTTTAAATACAATGCTTCACTAAATTGCTCTGCCTCACATTGGAGACATTGTTAACTGGATGTCTTGATCCTACCTATTTTACTTGTGTAAATAAACGATTCATCGTCTGTCATTTAGTTGGAAGTTTAACTTTTTACATCAGAATTAAGAGCTAAAAATAGGTTAGTGTAATCTGTAATTACAGTACTGTGTTTTCTGTTTGAGGTTCGGTAGATTTCCCTTCATCTCCCCTGTAGAGCGTTTCATTGTGTGGTCCGGCTGTGCAATCAATCGTATTTTAATCTCGATTATGATTTTGGCTTGCAACGATTACGAAAACAACGTAATCGAAATAAAACGATTTATCTAAAAAAAAAAATTATAATTATTTATTGTATTGTTTTTTCAGTTGAATTCTACTTAAAGTTCAGGGTAATCAACTATTAAAAACATACTGTTCACATTTCTTTCTCCAATAAATGGATGTTTTCAAAGTAAATGGATAATCGTTTTTAATAATCGTGATATCAATTATTGACCCAAATAATCGTGATTATGATTTTTGCCACAATCGAGCAGCCCTAGTCCTGCGTCATCCTAACAGACGAGAACCCTCAATTTTAAAAAACGGAGTTTATTTGATGTTGCACAGTAAAGCTAAACTAGCATGGAGGGTGGCTTTGCCTTCCTGCAGCCTTTCCCTCTCAGGTCCTGTGTTGAGCGGAAGATAAAGGAAACATTTGAAGTAACGACTCCACTGACCATGTCGGATCTTCTCTCCTGTGTTGCCATGACTCATAATCTGTGCGTGGAGTGCGAGTGTCTGCATTTGAGTACATGTGAGAGGAGGAGGGTGAGAGAGAGTGAGCGTTAATGCAGTGCTTTCCCACCCTTCCACCTCCCCTCCCTTGCTCTCCCTTCCCTCCTCTCTCCCCTCCCCATCCTCTCTGCTTTGCACTGTAGATGACTCAGACCCAGGCCAGTCGAGTGAGACCTGGGGAGAGAGATTAGTGCCTCCCTGCAGGATATACGCAGGTAATCGCTGCAGCCCGATCCTCAGCCCCCTCGTCCTCGACAACTCACGTCACTCTGCTGCTGCTGTAAAGACACACACACACATGCACGTGTGTGTGTGCTTCCGCCCTGCATCTGCCCGTGTTACAGCTCACGCATGTCTGTGTTTAGTAACGACCGAATGATGGCGATGGGGGCGGCACTTGGCTGGCTTAAGAGAATGCTTTCTTTTTTTAATTCCCCCTTTTTTCAAACCTCATGCTTGTCATCGGTTTCTCTGCGTTCTCAACAGATGCAAGCGAAAGAGGGAAAACGTGTCACTGTGACGATGAAATTGATCTTCTTTGGGACTGTCCTCTAACATCTTTCTTGGTTTTCTTTTGCAGATAAAGATATACCAGACAAGAAGAAAGTGAAAAAGGAGGCTGGGGGCAAGAAGTCCCAGGCTCCCAACCTTTTGTTTGGGTATCCTCTGTCAGAGCGAAAACAGATGGCTCTCCTAATGCAGATGACTGCCAACAGTCCAGGTTTGTGTGCTGCCCTTTCACCTTACCCACATCCTCAAGATGGCTCGGAGTACATTTACTAGGGGATGAGTCATGCCGCCGGGCGCTTTTCAAGAACATGCAGTCTAAAATGTCAAGGTTATTTGAGAATAGGAAATGTTCAACTGTAAAAACTGCTGCTTTATATAAGGGACATTGTGCGGTTACCTTTGTAATATGTAACCGGGAAAGTTCGCTGGGTTTATTTCTTGTTAATAATAGGTTCTGAATAGTTGTAAGAATAGACCAATTAGTACATACATGCTGACTCCAGTAAAACCAGTGTCACTGCGGTTGCTCAATCAAATGCTCATTAAAGGAACAGTTTGAAACGGTGGGAAATAAACACATTCACGTATAGGCTTGTATGAATTGACTGTGAAGATTGATAACATTCACGTCTATATTCAATATGAGGGAGGCGTGTGGCGCAGTGGGTTAGCGCTGAGCTTCGAATCAGAGGATAGCAAGTTCGAGTCCCACTGCAGTCAGCATGTCGTGTCCCTGGGCAAGACACTTCACCCCAAATTGCTCCTGTGGGGATTCTCCACAGTATTGAGTATGTAAGTCGCTTTGGATAAAAGCGTCTAACATGTAATGTAATGTGAAGCTGGAGGCAGCAGACGATTAGCGTAGCTTAGCATAGGGAACAATGGACAGAAAGCTTTTAGTCTAATAATATGCAGTTTATTCTCAGTACCCCTGTCTCAATGAAAGTATTCGATACCATAATCAATGTGTGGATGTAACCGCCCAAGGAAGAGCTATCGAGCTAACTGTTGATTTTCCTTTTTAAATAAACAAATGAGAGAAAGATGGACAGCTAGACTAGCTCTGTCACAATCTACCTACCAGCAACATCTGTGGAAAAATACAAAGCATGCTTTATTAAAATGATTTGATTCTGGAATATTTCTGTATTTGTTCTCTTTGGCTCGAGTTAGGCTAGATGTTTCCACTCTTTTATGCTAAGCTCACCAGCTGCTGGCTGTAGCTTTAAATTCAAAATTCAAAAAGGAAATTAGTATCAATTTTTACATATTTTACTGAAATGTCTTTCTATTCAATTAATAAAAACGTACCACATCAAACCAACACATAGTATAAGCACAGTCTTTCTTGTTCTCAGTGAAGCCAGTTTCTTTGTGTTGCTTGATCCAGTGACTTGCACATGAATTCAGGCGGTTATCTCAACCTGTGACAGGCTTCTGCTTCGAGCATCAATTAAGTGCTTTCCTCTCTGCCTGTGCACAGACTCTACTCCCAGTCACCCCTCTCAAACGACCCCTGTGCAGAAGAAAGTCCCCAGCAGCGCCTCGTCTCGACAAAAGGACAAGGTCAACAAGAGGAACGAGCGAGGGGAGACTCCCCTTCACATGGCCGCCATCCGGGGAGACGCCAAGCAAGTTAAAGAGCTCATTAGCTTGGGAGCCGACGTCAACGTTAAAGACTTTGCAGGTACGATCCCTCGGGAAGTGATCATTTAACAGCTTTCATCGAAGCTGCATGGAAGCTATTAATGACATGTAGCCGACAACAGCTGAATAACAGATGCTTAGTCAAAGGTGACGTCTCATGAGATAATCAAAACAGACCGTGTGCATCTCACTATCGCCTGTGCATGTTTATTTGATGTCATATCAATTAATTTGGCCTGATCAACAAACAAAAATCTGTGTTTTTGATGTACATTTCAAATGGCTGTTTTATGTTATCAGTTGATTCATTATTTTTTTTGTTTTATTTCCCTCCTCAGGCTGGACTCCTCTTCATGAAGCCTGTAATCTAGGTTACTACGATGTGGCCAAGGTGTTAATATCAGCGGGAGCAGAGGCGAACACGCAGGGGCTGGACGACGACACGCCGCTCCACGATGCCTCCAGCAGCGGGCACACAGATGTAAGAGCTTCACTCGAATAATCCTAAATATAATGTAGACGTTAACGGTAGTCATGTTATTATAATGATTATGGTTCATCTTGAGATATGGAGTGATGTGGAATGGTCTGCAGTCAAAATTGTACGTCATAAAAAGCAATTATACTCAAGTTAAGTCAAGGAAGTTAATGATTAGAAATTGAACATATTGTGAGCTGGTTTCAGGTTTTTAAAAACAACTTCTTGTATATGGTTTTCTAACTTATAAAGTGTATACTATTAGAAATATTTGCTGCATCTAATGATCTATATTAGGTTTTAAAAACAACAAGGGTCATGCTGTATTAGAAATTAGTTGTAAATTAATTGCTATAAACGAGAGTTGTTTACACAATTCCAATTTAAATCTTAAGATTGCTGCTATTTTAACTTTAAACCATCTCTGTTTTTTACGTTTGTCTGAAACATTGATGTTCGTTGTGAGAGGTTTAATACTCCTTTATTCAATACAGATTGTGAAACTGCTGCTACGCAACGGCGGTAACGCTTTCCAGGCCAATAAGCGCGGGGAGCGCCCGGTGGACGTGGCCGACTCTCAGGAGCTGGAGCAGCTTCTGAAGGGAGAGGTGCCGCTGTCGGACGAAGAGGAAAGCTCTTCAGGTATAAAGAGAGTACTTTGGAGTTTGCCTACCTCCCGTTTAAAGTTTTTATTATTTTATAAATTATTTATTTCTTCTACTAATTCATCCAAAAATGTATAATTCATACACACAAAGATAAACACAATTAGTAGAAGACCTACTTTATTTATTAAAGCACCTGGTGTGTGCATGTTGTTTAATTGTTACTGATCCAGACGGCTTAGACGACAATGTGTTTAGGGCTTTACTCTGACATACATCGTCGTAAATATGGGTATAACATTCAGTGTTTCCCCTAGGATGGAGTCATAGCAGCGGTGCGAAGAACTTTTGATTTTTTTGGTACCCGGCTGGCGCCCCCTAGCAGCAGCGCGCTGGGGGCGAACACTGACATTTAATACTAACACATTAAAATATTGTTTAAAAGTTTTTTTAACTCACGAAACACGTTTTGGGCCATAACTCAAGAATATCACACAAGTTGGCTAAAGTGAGGAAGTGATAACATTTGAGTGTTTCTTTTTATGTACATGGTTAATGGTCTATCGAATGTAATTAAATTCTAGTTTATTTTAGTCCCATTCTTCATCGGTATGTTTATTTCTCTTTTAAACTAAGAGTACATTTCCTTGTATGTTTAAACCCTTACTTTTCTATAAACGCTGATTCTGATTGTATTTTCCGTTTAGTACTTCTTGCCACCAAAGGAAATGTAATAATATACTTTAAATATGTTACAGTGTAGATGTATCGTGTAATCTTCACTTATGTTTGTGTGATTTAATATTGACTGCTATTGACTTTCATTGTGTCATTTTAAAATAGATGTCGTCTTCTCTGCAGAGTCTGAAGACCCTCCGTCTGTCAATCCTTCAAGTGTGGATGACAACGTGGAAGACTCCGATACCGAAAAGGACTCGGATGGCAAACCCGTCTCGAAAGCGCCATCATCCGTTCCCGGTCTGGACGAGTACGAGTTCAAGGACGAGGAAGAGGAGGAGGATCTCGGTAAAGCCTTGAACGACAGACACGTCCTCCGGAGGGAACTACGGCAGCAGGAGCAGGAGGAGGAGAAGGAGAAAGAGGAGAAGGAAAGGAAGGAGGAGAAGGAAAGGAAAGAGGAGAAGGAAAGGAAAGAGGAGAAGGAAAGGAATCATGTGGCAGCAGGAAAGCAGAGTGGAAAAGGGGATTCATCCTCCAAGTCCAAAAAGCAAAAGACTCCCCGTGTCCACTGCAGCTCGGATACGTCCAGCGACGAAATGGAAAGCCTTCCAGAGAAAAGGAATTCCCCCACCTGCTCTCAGAGCTCCGAGAGCCTCAGGACCGAGACAAAGTCTAAAAAGGACATGTCTGAGCAAAAGGATAAAGGCAAAGTCAAGAAAAAAAGCAAGAGCCAGATTAAAAACAAGGAAAACCAAGAGGATGGGAAGGAGAACAGCAAAACGTTGGTACTCTCTCTTGCAACTGTGTCAGAGAGCACAGAAAAAGGTCGGGAGGAAGACTCTTTCAAGATGTCTTTCAGTCCGAAAGACGACTCATCCGTCCACCTCTTCCATTTGTCGTCCATAAAGTCACCAAAACTGAACCACAGCCTGACGGATAAACAAACGCCGCTCAAACAGGAAAATACTAAGATGTGCATTTCCATCAGCGACAGCTCGTGTCCGGTGGACGGTGTCAAATACAACCACTACACAGAGGCAGACTACTGCACCGAGGGCTCCAGCACCAAGGGGTGCAAGCACAAGGAGAAAAGCAAACATCAACAGAAAGACTCGAACGGAGACGGGGACGACGGTCGATCGAGTCCTTGCAAAGACGCCGGCAGCATAGGAAACAGCGTAGACGGCTCTGAAGGTGCCTTACGGAAGACGGACCTGGACGGCAAAGTGGTGAAGAAGCATAAACTTAAACACAAAGAGAAAGACAAACACAGGAGGGAGTACGAGGCAGAGCGCAGCCACCACAGGCAGAAGGAAGCCCGGAAAGACGGCCACAGGAATCTGGAGTTTGACAGAGAGTTCTGGAAAGAGAACTTTTTCAAAACCGACGAGACGGATGAACATCTGCCAGTGAAAAAGGAAGGTGACGAGAACAGTTCCATTCAGAGGACCTCGGAGTTCCCTCCTGTCAAAGAGGAGAAGAACACGAAGGAGAAGCACTCGAGCAGCAAGGAAAAGAGGCCGAGAGAGGAGCGGGAAAAGGACAAGGCCGTGAAAAAAGAGCGGAAGGAGGCGGCGGCTGTTAAAGAGGAGAAGGTAAAGGATTCAAAGCCGAGTGAGCGTGACGAGAGAGTGGACTGCCACGGCTCGGGGCGGATTCCTGAGGAGACAGAAGAGACAGAAGAGAAACCCATAAGTGGGATCACAGCTGATCAAGAACAGCTGGAGCTCTCTGAAAAAGGCTCACGTGAGAAAACTGACAAGAGGCTCCCAGGGAAGGAGAAGGATTCAGAGAAAATGGAGAAAAGACACCCTGACAAGGAGAAAAGGGTCAAAGTGGAGCACTGTGACAAAGCTGAGCCGCAGAACTCCGTGGACCGCTGGAAGGACAAAGAGAGAACGGCGGCCATCGCTTCCCACTCGCCTGGAGATAAAAACTGCAAAGACAATGAGAAAGTGAAATCTTTATCTACGACTAAAAAGCACGAGGACAGCCGGAAAAACAAAGATAAGTTTGACAAGCGGTCCGACAGGGAGAGGCTGGACAGAGAGTATAGTGTTGGGGAGCGCACCCTCTCTGAGAAGAAAGGCAAAGCTCTTGAGAAGAACACAGATCTCAGCAAATCTGATCGTACAAAAGAGAAGGACTGTGAAAGAAAAAAGAGGGATAAAATAAAAGAAGGGACTATTTCCTCAAGTTCCAATCTGAAATTGCTTCTAGAAGAAAAAAAGAGCTGTCTGTCGGAGAGCAGCAAGTCCTTATCTAGTAAGTCAAAGGAGGAAGTTGTGAGAATACCAGAAAAAGATCGCGACCGCAGAGACCGGGACAGAGACTCGGATAAACACAAGGATAAGGAGCGGCACAAAGACCGCTCCCAGCAGGCCAAAATAAGCAAGGCCAAAGCCAATGACACAGATGCAGATAAGGCCAAATCAAAAGCCTCGCCGGTAACACGCGACGCCAAGCCCAAAGAGAAAAGGCTTGTGAACGATGACCTGATGCAGACCAGCTTTGAGCGAATGCTCAGCCTTAAGGACCAGGAGATCGAGCAGTGGCATCGCAAACACCTGGAGAAAATCAAACAGAAAGAGCGGGAAAGGCTTAAGCAGCGGCCTCTGGCAGATCCTGGGAAGTCCAAACCCAAAGACAGAACAAAGACCGAGCCATGCCTGAGTAAGGAGCTCATGCGCTCAAAAAGCTCTGAAGCGTCTGATATCCACAACAGAGATAAACCCTTGAAGGATGGCACCAGCCCCAGAACAATGTCGCTCGATGGGAAGACTCTGCCCTCCATCAGCGCAAAGGTCATGTCAGCGGTGGAGAACTGTCTCACCAGATCGCCTCGACCGGAGAGCGATCGCTGCGGAATCATGTCCAGGTCTGTCTCCTTGATATCTGTTGCTAGCTCGGAGGATTCGTGTCAGGCGACGACTTTAACGCCCAGACATGTTGAATACGACTCCGACATGAACCTGGAAGCCTCAGACTCCCAGCCGGCGTTCCTCCAGTCTTCCCTCGTCATCCAAGCCACCAGATCGCCGTCTGTTCACGATAAAGATTGTCTTCCTGACGTCCCGCAAAGCAATCGGACACTACTTCCCGGCAGACATGAATCTCCGTACCTCAGGGCTATTCTGGACGAGGAAGCCAACTCCTCAACGGAAGGTAAAGCTGCTGAAAGTCTGCCTAAACCGAGCCAGACTACTGAGGAGCCGGAAACAAGAGAGACCTCGGCAGAAACGGAGGAGAGTCAACAACAATGTTTGAATGCAGTTGCTGACTCAGCCACAGAGAGAGAAGGGATAGATCCTGTTGGTTTAACATCACCAATATCAAACACAGATCCTCAGAGTCAAAGCCAGACACTTCCAGAGAGTAGTACCTCTCAAACGGGCTCAACAGAAAAAGAAGTAACTCTTCCTTCCTCTGCATCTCCTCCTTCCTCTGCAACTCCTGTTGTGAAGGACCTACCATGTCCGACAGAGACTCAACAAGCAGACATTCAAGATTCAGATAGACCATCCACGCCTACAGCTTGTCTACCTGCTGAAGCAATAGACACAAACTCAAAGCCCCTCCAGCAGGACGACACCGTCTCTGGGGACGAGACTGAGCAGCTGACAGAACCAGCCACCACACACGTGTCTGAGCTTAAAGACGAACCTGTAGTAGAGAGTGCTGACGGAGCAGAAGAGGAGGAGAGTATGGAGGTAGACGGCAGAGGAAGTCCTGTTCCCTCCACGAGTTCGCACATTCCCAGCTTCTCTGCAGGAGAGTCCTTGCCGGGATTTACCCAAACAAGCAGCGAGTCAAAATGTTCTTCAGAGGATATGGATGTATATGACCAAGACTGCCAGAACTCAAGACCTGAAGGCGACGCTGCAAGTCAAGTCAGTGCTCAGGAGGAGAGAAAGGACTATATAGCTGCAACGGCGTCCTATAGTGCGAGCCCTGAGCACAAAGCTGAGGAAGTGACTGACGTCCCGCAGAGCTCGGAGAACAGTTACACTGCGGTTTCAATAGAGAGTTATTCCAGAGAGGGTGTTTTCGCTACAGAGGGATCCTCCGAGGCTACAGCAGAGGCCAGCTCCGAGCCGATGGAGGTGACGCCTCCCGATGAGAAACCAGAGTCATCTTCAGCTGGTGAAGAGCAGAGCATCGTCCAATCGGTAGCGAGGAATGATAGCAGCAGCAGTAGTAGTAGCAGCAGCAGTAGCAGCAGCAGTAGTAGTAGTAGCAGTAGCACCTGTAGCGCCTCGGGGAGCTCCTCTCCACAATCTGGAGACCGAGACTCTGATTCCTCTGGCGCTAAATTCAAGAGTCGCTCTGCAGAAGATGAAATGGACATCCACCATCCCCATCCACGCAAGAGAAAGATGCCCAAAGCGTCATGCTCGCAGTCATGCTCCGCCACTCAGCAGCAGGACAAGGAGCAAGGCCAGCAGTCTCTGGCGGCCATCGTGGACTCGGTGAAGCTGGAGGAGATTCAGCCGTACCAGACGGAGAGGGCCAACCCGTACTACGAGTTCCTGCACATCCGCAGGAAGATCGAGGAGAAGCGCAAGGTGCTGTGCAGCGTCATCCCGCAGCCCCCGCAGTACTACGATGAATATGTGACCTTCAACGGATCCTACCTCTTAGATGGGAACCCGCTCAGCAAGATCTGCATACCAACAGTGAGTTCATTTATTTTCAGATATTGGTCAAACTGATTTGTTTTCCTCAGAAATATTTGTATTAGATTTTTTAAAGACAACAACAAACATCAACACATTACGCATTTCCACATGTACCCCTTCCCCAGTCCCAAACAGACGTGAACAATATGTGAAAAGATATCTCTGGAGCACAAAACAAAAGAGACAGTAGCTGGAAGTCTAGGACAATACATAAACCCCAAATAACAGCAGCAGTGGGTATAACTGATTTGAAGAGAAGTGTTCTTCTGATGGCATTAATTATAAATAACCACGTCCTGCACATGTTGAAGACATTTCTTAACAAAAACGGTGACTAAATATGTTCGTCAACAACCTTTCTTTCTCCATGACTAACACTGACGCAGCGACACCAACGTACTTTAACACCGACTGTGACTATATCACATGCAGTACTGTTGGCGGGAAAAGACCAATGAAGAACTTTACCTGTCTCATTTACGATTGAGACACAAAGTATTAACTGATATTATTATTTTTCAATGCAGCACATATTCCTTGCTTCTTGCTATATCTGTATTACAGTGGCAGCAAACAGTGAGCAATATAATCTGACTAAATAAAGGCAAAACAAATCTACCGTTTTGATTATACTAAAGATTGAAATACCCAGACTTTTATTCAACTAAAACTTGACTTAAAAAGGAATGAGTTTGACAACATATGATAAAAAAAATAGGGCATTTTACACAGGACAAATGATATCAACATAAAATAATGTTGTATTTAAAAGATGAACTTTGTGGTGATAATTATAGATCATATCGTCCAGCTCCAAATCTCAGCATGCACTTAAAGGTCCTTTTTAATATCTTACCTCTTGGGTGCTGCTTATATATCATCACACAAATAAGTAAATGAAACTGAATGTTAAATATATTCTTCTTGCTGACATCTGCATGGTGAGTCATCAGGCGTGTCCTTGCAGCGATGATAACGTTTTAAACTCTCTCTCTCGTGTGTTTGAACAGATTACTCCACCTCCATCATTACCTGAGCAGCTGAAGGAGATGTTCAAACAGCAGGAGGTCTTTCGCATGAAGCTCCGACTGCAGCACAGCATTGAAAGGGTGCGTACTTTTACTCCACAGGTTTTGTTTTGGTTGTGGAGTACCTCCAAGACGTTTTTAGTGCCACTTGTAGAAGCTGAAATGGAAAATACTGTTAAAGAAATACCTGTTTTTGGAAAGCCTCTTGACATTTTGAAACGGTGTGGTTCTCACTGTGTTGACTTTACAAGGATGTCAGAGCATTAAAGATACTTGCTGTGGATTGTTTACCACCCATACCACATACTATTGCATTTTATTAATCAGATGAATTTGTCTTCCTCCCCTTCAGGAAAAGCTGATTGTTTCTAATGAGCAGGAAGTCCTACGAGTCCATTACCGGGCAGCGAGAACACTAGCCAATCAGACGCTGCCTTTCAGTGCCTGTACTGTTTTATTGGACGCTGAAGTGTACAACATGCCTCAAGAAGTCCAGGTACGTGACCGATGTTTACCTTTAAGGTCCTAATGAGACGTACGTTTCATTCAGTTCGTCACAGTGGTTAATTGTTGTGTGTTTGATTGGTTGTTGTGTGTTTGATTTGTTGTTGTTGTGTGTTTGATGGGTTGTTGTTGTTGTGTGTTTGATGGGTTGTTGTGTGTTTGATGGGTTGTTGTGTTTGATTGGTTGTTGTGTGTTTGATGGGTTGTTGTGTGTTTGATGGGTTGTTGTGTGTTTGATGGGTTGTTGTTATTGTGTTTGATGGGTTGTTGTTATTGTGTTTAATGGGTTGTTGTTATTGTGTTTGATTGGTTGTTGTTGTTGTGTTTGATGGGTTGTTGTTGTGTTGATTTGTTGTGTT